CTTCTTCTTCTTCTTCTTCTTCTTCTTCTTCTTCTTCTTCTTCTTCTTCTTCTGGAATGAAGACCCCCACCTTGATAGCACCTCCTCCCTCCACCACCCGATCTATCGACAATTAGAGCTTGAAGTTTCTCACCGATGATATAACCGATGACAATGGACGTTGCACTGACCACACCCAGCTGCCTCTTCATCTGTACACCTCCTTGTGAGTGTGAGCTGTCGCTGTAGTCCGTGCAGCTGCTGTTCTTGTCTTCCTCGTCCATCCTGATGCTGTTTCTCTTATTTGGTTATTCCTGTCGTTTCTCCTTCTATCAATCATTTGCCCCAAATCACCTCTGAGAAGAGAACGAAAAATCGGGGTCAGATGTTTGGCCTATATTGTTTCAGTTTAGTAGAATGTTTAGCCGTTATTTCATTCTTCACACTTTGCGCCAGTTCTGTTTTCTCTTTTTACGGTTACGATTTTTAGGGGGCAGTTTTGCTTGTATACTTGCCTTAATCTGTACAATTTTTTGTAGTTGGAACAAGTACAAAAGAAAGAAAACAATGCTTTACCCACTTTAGGACAGGACGTTTATTATGACGCCCAAGTATTCCATACATTCTATTCCCCCTGTTTGGGAGTTTTTATCAGTAGCTGGCAAAGTAAATACTTACTACATAGATATGGGACATATTACATCTATCATTATTGTAACAAGAACCTTGATAGTAAGATGTATGCCTAGAGTAGGCTAAGAGAGTCGTGTGAATGAAGTCGAGAGAAATTCCATACATGACCACTCATATGATCATGCGCGTGTGTGTGTGTGTGTGTGTGTGTGTGTGTGTGAGAGAGAGAGAGAGAGAGAGAGAGAGAGAGAGAGAGAGAGAGAGAGAGAGAGAGAGAGAGAGAGAGAGAGAGTGAGCGAGTGTGGGAGTGGGTGTGGGTGTAGATGTGGGTGTGGGTGTGGATGAGTGTGAATGAGTTTGTGTGCTTTGATGTGTTAATATATGTAAGCGTGTATGTATGTGGGTATGGATTTGTGTACATATGTGTGTATTTGTGTGTGTGGGGGCGGAGGGTGAGAGCATGATACTTTACGTTAATTTTGTATCGCTAAGTTTGAAAGAAAACACACTCCACTCAAAGTTAAATCTTCTACACACAGCAAAAAAACAAAGAGTTCACCCCTACAATATGATAAGATGCGTCCTACTATATTCCTCCCAACAGTTTGGCAGTTTATTTGTCTAATTATAAATTGAGTCATTAATATACCATACCCATTACCCACATGAATGAAGTATGTTTAATCAAAGATCGCAGCCAAGCTATGTTAACAGTAAGGTGCATAACACAAACAAAATGTTATGCCCTATTTTCGTATACTCGCTTATTTCCCCTGAAAACTTTGTCAGAATCCAATTTTTGATCAGAGTATTCACAACTTCACACGAAATGTGAGACGAGATATTTTCTTTTCCTTTTGTGTATCATTGTAAACAGAAAAGTAAAACGATACACCTTTTACGTATTTTTGATAAAAATGCAAATTCTGATATTACATTTATGACTTCGCTTACAAAAAATTAAAACTCTACAGTTTCTACATAATAATATTCTAAATGAAAATGCACATTCCGATATTACATTCATGACTTCGCTTACAATGTACCTTGTACTTTCTTTGACAAAAAGCGGGGATATACATTACATTCCTCATATTTCCTGAGAATTTTGCTTGTATTTTTTTTCCTATTTTTTCTTTGTTTTTGTTTTTCTTTGGCGCTCACTTTGACAACTACAAACAGGAAACAGAAAAATTGTGACTTTTTTAAAAAAAGACTTTTATTACCACAGATACTGTTAAGGTAGACGAAAACTTACTTCATCAAAAAGGGATTTTAGAATAACATCCCTCAACTTTTGCAAATAAACAAGTTTTGTGTAAACAAGAATTTACTTAAGTCTAAACACACTTAAAGATATCATACTCAATATTAGTCAGTTCATGTGTACGAATATTCATGTTTGTGAGTGCATATAAGATATTCAAAGTGGGACAGATGGACAGAAACAGTCATTGTGGCTTCAGCGAGTGAGAGAGAGGAAAGGAAGGACCGTAACACTCAAAGACATAACACGAAAGATAGAAAAGGAGAGAGCAGGATAGAAAAAAGAGAGACTTTAATAAGTAGGGAGAGAGATTTTTTTTAAAAGAAACAAAGAGCAAGAAAAAGAGAAAGATGAAGAAAACCTGAAATAAACAAATAAGGTAAAAGAAAAAAAGAAATTCACAAACGTGCGCATAAGCGGTGGGGTGTTATAACGTTATTCGCAAATCTAGCATCCACCCCAATCATCTTCACGTCAATCTTCTTGTTTACCTTCAACCCTTCCAGCTAAAAAAAAAGGGAGGAAAAAATAATTTTAAAAACATGAAAAAATGAATCACACGTTATTCTGTAGACATATCATACATCGTGAACACATAGCTTTCATCTTTTCCCTTATATGAAAAATCGCAGTGCATTTCAAAGAGCCACACGTTGGTATTTGTTATTGCTTTTAATCCCCTTTTGAAAGGGGGGAGGGGGGTAGGAGGGGCAGGAAGAGGAAGACATACGACAGAATTTCTGATCGCAGGATAGATCAAGTTACCATTTTATTCATCAGACACAAGAGTTCTTAGCACAGTTCTATTATCACACTGATGCACATTTCTGTTATCACACTGATGTTTCAAATCACAAAGACAGATGATACTGTATGTGCTGAAAAATCTTTATTGAACATTGTGTCAAAGTTCCTACTGGAAAACTTGATTCAAAGACAAGAAGAAAATGGAAAAAAAACATTTTTTGTCTGCTTGAGAAATAAAAACAATTTAAAGGCATTTTGCTGGGGTGGAACATTCAAAGCCTCGATTTAAGAACTATGGGGTTAGTTTGTATATAAGAAAAATTGCCAGGCTAAAAAAGAAGGGACAAAATACATTTCAGAAAATGACGATACATAACAAGTATGAAGATTAGAAAATGTAGTGGCAAGTCCCAGAAAATAACATTTTTACATGACAAACACATACTACACCCAATGACTCTAAGAAAAATTTTCATTGAAAGATGTAAAGAGTACAACATATACACAAGAGACTGCCATGACAGAGAACGCTAAGACAGAAACTCTTAGAATTAAAAAAAACTTACCACTCTTGTGTAGGACACACAGAGCTCAAACAGAACTCCTGTGAGAAAAGAAAATACAATTTTTGTTGTTGAATTGTTTACGTTATATACACAACTCTTGAGCAGAAAAGATGCTTTCCTCTTCAAGTTCTCCTTTGCAACTATCAGTTTAGATGAGAAATAATAAATGCTGATATTCAATTAGATGTTAACGAGATTTTCTCCAATAATATAATGTAAAGCGCAAAGAGCTTGCTGTTGAGCGGGGGTATGCACTATACAAATACTATTTATATTATTATTATCATTATTACGGTTATTTACATATTGTGTACACTCATACTCATAGCCTTCACAGACAATGATTGAACCTTATTTTTTGCCTTATCTTTGTCTCCCTAAATAATTGCTTGATTTGTAACTTTCAGAGAACAATTTTTTCACTTTATTTCGGAATCTCCAAAGAATTACTTTTAATTGGACGTAGGTTGAAACATCACACCGCTTTTCCCTATTAGTAAAAAAACATTAGAAATCACAGAACCATCCAATAACTTTGTTCTAGCTCACTGAATAATAATGTGGCTCAAGATCTCCTCTGTTTTCCCTGAATATGGGTTATGTATGAGTTTTTTGCCAGATTACAAGAGTATATGTATTGGAAAAAATTGCTGTATGTTGAATGAGCCAGTACGCATGAAACATACATTTGAATTTTATTTTATTGTGAAGTGCCTAGAGCCACCAGCGAGTGGGCACTATAGATAATAATAATAATCATCGTCATCATCATCACTGTCAGTTTTATTATCATAATCATTATAATTATTATTATAATAATAATAATTATTATTATTATTATTAATATCATCATACATCCACTGAGCAACAACAACAACCAGTGTACAGAATACTCACCAATATTATCACATGTGTTGTTGGTGCGCACAAATGTCTCAGCGTGCATGAACGGGTCCATCAGGTCAGAGCCCTGTTGTTAAAAAATACAGGGAGTTAGAACTTTGTCAAGCTAACTAAATCTAAGGAGAGATAATATTAATAATAGCAATAATAATAATAATAACTCGTCTGTCAAAGAGCGATGATGATCCAATACATACATAGAGGAGAATATTTCTCTAGCCAATTAGAAGAATTTGAAGAATTAAAGGTTACGGTGACCTGTGGCTTCTGCTGTGGCCGATGAGACCAACTGTGGCAGAGAGAAGTTTGCCACGTTCTGAGCATTCAAAGGGTCCACTTCCCCTTGTGGGTAGATGTGCACAGTTTGCGGGCTTCTCTCTCAGTTTCAGCATTTCTGATTCATGAAGTAATACTGGAGGCAAATGTTCTCTACCTGACAAGCTGACCAAAAGACATATACAACAAATTTTTGGAAAGTTTGCAAGCTAGTACAAATAGAAAAAGATAAACAACACCAAATTTTCATTTAGTTTAAGTTTAATTTTAGTAAGAGTTTTACTGCACTTGCAACACAATAAGGTCATAATAAGAGCCGAAAATTAGAGGTTTTACAAGAGAGCAGCACACATAAAAAAGAAGGAGGGGAGATAAGGGCAATAGATGCATGACAGGAAAGAAAGAGCAAACCACACCAGAGCACCTGCTAACCGCCCACCAGCATTTTTAGGAAGTTGGTCATGACAGTGATGTTAAACAATGGAGCACCCAGCACCTTTGGTGCAGTGGCTGGGCTCTTTACTGTCTTACATAGAAGATGAGAGTTTGATTCCCACATGAAGTAGCTATTTTATCGAGTATTTCCATGTGTTTGATAGGACGCTGTTTCCAACTCATCCTGGGTTCTTGCCATCGCCGATAAGTGTGCTGTGGGGGGCAAAGGGTCAATCTGTTTAATTTCTTATATCCAGCAAGCTGTTCCAAGAGACGCTGTGATGGTGGGATTCTGGCAGTGGCTCGGGCACATTCCTTTACGATAACCTCAACATCAAATTACTTTTCGGCTTTTTCTAAAAACAGTTCTCTTTTACTGGGAGTTCATTCATTAAACGAAAGAAAAACTATAATAATTGGTTCACTTGTTTTGATTCAATGGCCAATTAAGTGACGATTTTGTCAGATTTACTACCAAAAAGGGCCTTGACGTAGTGGGTTTACCCCCCCCCCCCTTGGGGATAAAGAGTTAATCAAATGTTAGTCACAGCTTGACGCATGCAGCCGTTTAAACAAGACACTCACCTTGGTGGTGAAGGACCAGATCCGCTGCGACTTGTCCACAGAGGCCACGGTCACCGAGTGAATGTTGCTGAGGATCTGAACAGTAAACACAACATGACTGACAGGTATACATACGCTATATATATAGACAATCATTTCACTCGTTTTTTTGTTTGTAAAATGTTGGTCAGCAGTTCAAAGAGCAAAGATATTTTATTCTGTAAAGCTAAAAAAAATAATTTTCACTGCAGTTTTGCTCCTTACTTGTCAACCAGCAGTACTAATTAAAAATAGTTTTTCTTGCTAAAACTCAAAATGCACATCAAGTAAAGCCTCAGAATCATGCCTTTCAGTCATAGTATCATACAAAACATAGAAAATATTTGCACTTTCTACATACAATATATGCAAACTCTTAATTCCTGAAATAAAAAGACGGAACCACATACACTACGATACAACCAAAATAAGAACTTAGAAGTACTATGCCATTCAAAGAAAAACTGTAGTTTTTTCTGAAACAAATCTACGGAGCCTGTTACCACATAAAACAACTAAAAACACACTACAGCCACAAGCTAACAAAATGCCTTTTTTTTCTTCAGAACAGGTTTTTGGTCTGCATAATCATTTCAAAACAGGGTCTTTCTGAAATTTCAATTCTAATTTATTCAAAACCAGGTCACAGTCTCAATTTGATTTTTTCACACAAGTAGGGTAACTGATCAGTCTTTCGAAGTAGCAAATAAACAATTTTGGAGTCAAAATGAAAAAAGGCAATTTGTCAGCCAACGGCAGAAAAATTATCAAAATTTTCTTGCACTTAACGCAACAATAGCACAGAAAGGCAAAACACAGTTGTTTCCAGCAAATCCCATTCCCAGACGCCAGACACTGGTAGGTCTATACACACACAACAACATCAACACTTACATTTTGTCCGTCAAAAAGACACATTCGCACATGACGCCCTAGCACTTCCAGACCTGAAAAATTGTAAAAATAGAGAAAAATACACCAATTAGTCAAGCTTAATGGAATGATTCCCTCTGTTAATTAAATTCTCATTACAACCTACAAAGAAGACATGGACTAAATGAGTTTGTGGAGTGAGTATAAATACTGTTTCACTATTTTGGAGTGCCATTATTCTGTATTAACAAGCGGAAATATGTACCTGAAAACTTTGTATCGCAAGTCATGGCTGGATATAAATGAATTATACAGGCGTATATGGTGAAATGGTCAGTTCTTTGCCTTGCACACAAAACTCACAAGTATGACTCCCCAGCTGGGAAGAAGTTTATTGATTATCTCTTTTTTTCTGCAATGTATGTATCTAGCTTAACATTATAATTGTTTATATTACTGTTCATTTATATTAAATATGTGACTGTAAGCCTGCGTGCGTGAGCATATTTGTGTGTGTGTGTGTGTGTATGTGTGTGTGTGTGTGTGTGTGTGTGTGTGTGTGTGTGTGTGTGTGTGTGTCTGTGTGTGTGTGTGCGCGCGTGTGTGTGTGTGTACGTGGTGAAACACTGTACCAATGTGCCAGGATCTGGACAATAAAGGAGTATCTTATCTTATCTTATCTTTTCTCTTTCATACAGCTGGATTTGGCTCCGACAGACAGAGTCTAAGAAACCACCAAGCTGAATTATCTAAACAATGTCAAAAAGAGCATAAAACATTCACAATCTAAACGTTTAATAATCCCCAACAATTTCAGAAGAGAACCCAAATATACAAGCTAGAAAAAAGTTGTTAGATCATGTAAGCACATTAGTTTCAAATATTTTCAGCATCATCCCACAACATTGTGACATTTCTGTATCAAGAGAATTAAAAGCGAACTGAAAATACAATTTCCAAATTTATCCCATATTCTATTTAATACAACAAAAGCAAGTTATGAGAAAGAAATGAAAATGCAAGAAGGATTTAAAAATATATACAAACCAAAACCTGAAAAGGTTTAATATAAAAAAATAACAGCAATAGACATAGCTCAGGTTTATGCACGCAGGCCTACTACTGCAGTTCGTGACCTTTTATTGTCAAAAGTGATTGACATTATTACAGTAAGTAACTTTTGTTACATTCTCTTGTTTCATTTTTGTAAGTACTGAGAACTTATCGATATTGAGCTCTCTTGGCCGATAAAGTACTCGATACTGGCCAGTATCAAAGAGTCTACATAACAAGAGGGTCCACTCCTCTCTTTGAGCCAATTTAAAAAGTGTCCTCAAAATTCGGTGGCGTCCTCTTCGTAAATGCGCACCCTTTACGAACAGAGTTACCCTACTTGTGTTAAAAAAATCAAAGTGAAACTAACAAGTTTTTGAATAAATAAGAATTCAAATTTAGGAAGAACGCTTTTTTATAATGGTTACGCTGACAAAAAACCTCTTCCGGAGGAAAGGGTGACTGTTTTCTTCGTTTAATTTGACTTTAGAATGAAAGGCGAGAGGTCATTAAAATAGAAAAAACCTAAAACTCCGCACTGAACGAACCCGAACTGCTGATGAACAGCAGTCGATCTGCGCACGCAAGGAGGTGCTATTCCTATTCTTCTTCTGGAGAAACGAAAGAGAGCTTCAAAAGAGACTACAGCGCCATCTGAAGAAAAGAGTGGACTTCCGGCGGACACTTTTTTGGCTGAGTGGACCATCTTGTTAGGTACTATCTTTGCCAGTATCGACTAGCGCCTACCTCTACACTGGACCTACATACCTGCACCAGGGGGAGGGATTTGCTGACAAGACATTATTGTCACAAGTCGTTCTATTCTCGTTGACCGAGGACGGATCTGAAATTATGCATACACAGACAGATGGAATTTTCCAGACTTTTTATTTTTTAAAGCCACGACGATATTACGTGTATATAAAACTTGTCTAAAAGGCTAAAAGCTCATGCATACTCTCCAGCTCTATAAATGTAAGCACACATTTACACACACGCAGGTGCGCACATACGCACATGCACATACACACACACATAGGCACACACACACACATACACTCACTTTGTGCCAAACACAAAAATTAATACAAACATAGAATCTATAATTGTATGCAACACAAATATGGATAGAAACTGTGGGGCAAACTTTTCTTTTTATAGTGACACACTATACGAACACACAAATCACTCACACACACACACACACATATTATAGGGACAAAAGTACAAAACAACAATAAACATACATGCACGCACGCGCACACACACACAC